CCCGTGTGCCACGTCTCCCGCCGACGGCTCCGGGCGAGCCCCGCGGCCAACACCGTGCCCGGCGGGCGTGCGGCCCGGCCACCGCGAACTCCATCCTGGGGCACGTTTCTCTGATGAAAAGCGTGGCCGCCTGTAAACTAAATCCCAGACTGATGTTCTGTTCCCCCCACCCCGTTCCCTTCTAGAAAGTTCAGCAGTACACGGTCATCGTTCAGGCCACAGACATGGAGGGGAACCTGAACTACGGCCTCTCGAATACAGCCACAGCTATCGTCACGGTGACAGACGTGAACGACAACCCGCCAGAATTCACCGCGAGCACGGTGAGTCCCGGGCATGCGCGGGGGCCCGTGGTCACGGGCTCCAGTTCGCTCACGCTCGGTGTTGCGTCTCTGATGGCCGCTGGTGGGTGGAAGGAGCTGGGCAGGTGGGGGTGGCCAAGGCCCAGCAGTGGGGTCCGAGGCAGCAGTGGCAGCCAGCCCGCGGTGGAGGGGTCCTCTGCTCAGTCTGGCACAGCCACACCTGACTCTGAGCAGTGCTGGCCCCGAGAGGCTCGCAGGACAGTGGGCTGGACACTCTGAGTCTGGAGGCGTCAGCCGGTGCCATCTGGGCAAGAGCCGCCGTCTCTGCCACTCTGAGAGGTGTGCCGGTGGCCGTGCGTGGCAGGCCTGCCAGGGAAGGCCCGGATGGGGCCTCGGCCAGACACAGGGCAGGCCCCTCGAGGACACACTCAGCTAGCTCTCCATGGCCGTGGCCAGCAGAACGGGAAACGGGGTGTGGGGGCACGCCGCGCTCCTCTGCGTCACACGTGACTGGTGGGTGTGCCTGGGCCGCACCCCAGGCTGGACCAGTGTGGCCCGGCACTCCTAACGGACATTCGTTCGTTCGCTCCCTCGCAGTGTGGACCCACGTGTCCCTTCTGGGCCTTGAGCCCTGGGTCGCACACACACACTGGCTGTGGGGTCACAGAACCACGAGTCCTGCGTCCCATCCCCAGGAGGCCCCATCCCGTGACCCACCCCCGCGGCTCACTCAGTGCCCGGCGCGTGGAGCGAGCCCTTTGGTGTCACCGACGGCCTCTGGGGTCCCGGCCTCTGCTCTCCCCCCACTCACCAGCCAACACCCGCCCTCGTGACTGCCCAGGTCCGTGGCGAGCAGTGCTGAGTGTCCGGGCCATCACCCTGGGATGCCAACATGGTGGGGACATGCATCTGCCCCTCAGGTGCCCGTCCAGCCATGCGGCAGGGGCCAGGCCGGGCTGGGGCGGTGCTGGTAGCTCGAGGCCACCCTGAGGGTCCAGGGCCCCTTCCCAGAGCCTCGCTGCTCTCAGGCCAGGTCACGGGAGGGCCGAGGGGGCAGCAGCGGCCGCAGGAACAGGAACCATAGTGGCTAGAGCACAAGCCGCCCCCGGTGGCTCCCCCGCCAGGCACCGGGCGCCAGGCACCAGCCAAGCTTTCCCGTCACCTCCGCTGCCACCAGCCCCATGAGGGCCAGGACCCAGGTGTGGGGAGGGCGCCGAGGCTCAGAGAGGCTGAGTCACTTGTCAAAGCCATGCCGCCCGTACCTGGGAGCAGCCGGGGTGGAACCCCAGAAGCTGTGGCCGCATCATGCAGCTAAGAGAGGTGGCCGGGGTAGGGGGGATGGAAAGGTCCCTCCGTTCTCCAGGTGGGCCAGTCACCTTGCTATGAATGCATCTCACAGGCCAGGGCCCCTCAGACGAGCCTCCCCTCGACCTCCGAGCGCCTCCCCGCCCTGCTTCCCCACACCACAGCACCCCATCGTCCCCACGTCCCCCCCATCTGGAACTACAGAGTCCCAAGTCTCACATCCTGCATCCCAAGTCCAAGCTCTGGGCATGGCCAGACCAGGCGGACCCAGGGCGGGTCCCGGTGGCCGACCGCGGCCTCAGCCGTGAGGGCACAGCGCCACCTGGTGGGCAGATGGCAGATCGCCGCATGGAGGGAGCAGCAGGCCCCTGCCCACTGGTGAGGGGTGCGTGGCTTCCACTTTCATGTGCTCCCTGTGGCCAGGGATAATGGCACGACAGACCTAGAGCCGGTGTCTCAGGGAGTTTGGACATGCGGGAAGCAGCTCTCTAGGGACCCTTGGAGAATAATGATGCCCAGGTCCCCAGACCACAGCTGGCCGGGCAGACACAGACGCCTGCACCACCTTCTGTGACAATGATGGGACACACGGCTGTCTTCACACGTGCCACGCCCGCGACGGCACGTGGCCACTCCCAGTGAGGGGCTGAGCCGCTTCTGGGCCAGGCGCCTGGCGCCGTCCACGCTGGTCAGGACCTCGGGGGGCGCAGCCCACAGTGCCCGGAGCCCGTCTGCGGAGTCAGGGTCTCCGGCGGTCCAGGGCAGGTGCTCAGCCGTGAGGTCACCGCTGGTGAGGAAGTGACAGAGGGAGGTGACCTGCCTCTTTGCTCAGGGCATCAGGGGAGGGACTCCGTCAGCGAGATGTCCCTCGCTCCACACAGACGGCTGGAAAACGGCAGCTGGTCAGTGCACTGGGTCACCGCACTGGGACCGGGCGGAGTTTGCCTGTGACCCAGGAGGTGACTCACACACATGCCAGGGGGAGGTGGGCACAGCCTGGTTCCCGGGACACGAGTCAGACCTGCGGGCAGTGGGTGTGGACGGCATGGGCAGGCGTGGGCCAGTGTAGACTGCATGGAAGGGTGTAGCCAGCGCGGGTGGGCGTGGACGGGCGTGAGGTGTAGACTGCACGGACCGCTCGGGCGGGATTGCGGTCGGGCAGGGCGTGGGCTCCATCCCGTCATCCAAGTGCTGATGTCCCAGTGGCTGCGTCGCAGGCAATCCCAGGGTGTCCGTAAACACTCGGGGTCCCGGGATGGGTGGCAGGCCAGGCCCAGGATGCGGCTGCTCGGTGGGCGGGACTGCGGGCTGGCCACGCCCTGGCCACGCCCCTGGCCCCGCCCCTGGCCCGCCGGTTTATTTTTATCACCCTTAATCAAGAACAATCAGCAGAAGCTGAGGAGATGCGGGGCTCTGCGGGATCCAACTCCTGCTCCTAAATGATGATTAAACGTTATCCTCCCTTCGTCTGCTCTGCGGACGTGACAGGCTAGCTGCCCGCTGCGGGGCTGAGTCCTGCCATCCAGCCGGCCACTCTGCACTGGGCACTCCCTCGGGTGCACACAGGGTCCGCTGGCCTGCAGGACACGACCTTTAGACCCCACCCAAGGGCCCCCTGTTTGCCGCCTTGGGTCCTGGAGTGAAGCCTGGAGACCCAGCTTCCAGGTCCCTACGCCAGCCCAGCCACCTCGCCGCCCCCACGCTCATGGCCACAGGAGGGTCTCCTGGAGTCAGGAGGCTCCCCACACCCCCCAACATGGTCCCTCCTAGCTGCGTGATTTTGGGCAGATAGCCGGACCTCTCTGAGCACCGGAATGTTTGTCCCCACTTGACACTTAAGTGCGACACTATCTTGCAGCATCTCCGGGAGCATCGCTGATCTGTATAGACATTTTTACCCTGAACAGTGACATACGGGTGGTAACCAGCCCCGTCACCGGGGCAAGAAGGAGCGGCGTCCGGGAGCAGGAGAGGGCGGGGTCCGGGGGCGGGGTCCGGGGAGGGGGCGGGGCTGAGCGGAGGCAGACGCGGAGCCCCGCCCAGCGCTGCTGTCCACTGGTAAAGGAAAGGGGGCAGTCCTTACGGTCCTTACAGGACACCCTCAGTGCGGTGTCATACAGGACGGGATCCTGCCTGTTTTACTGTACGTGTTGCCTGAACGATCTGTCCCTCACCCCAAGGCTGACGTGAGTGAAATTAGGTTAGATGCCTGTAAAAGGTGGGGGATCACAATGGTTCCCCTCCCGGGGTCTCTGAAGACGGGACAAGAGGGTGACAAACTTGTAGGCCGATGTCGGGCCCACGGCATGCTGAGCCAGTATCACCCACAGATCACCCTTCGAGGGGCTGCAGTGGCCAGCCGGAGGCAGGGGTCCACAGACGTGGGATGTGGGTGTCTGTGGGTCTGCAGCCCCTCGCCTTTGAGGTTCTTCTTGGGACAGCTTGTGGTGCCACCCTCGGAGTGGCCTGCCTGGCCGGGTGGCAAGACAGCCCCGGCTTCGGGGCCTGGACGGACGGTGGGCCTCGAGAAACAAGACAGGATGACAGTGGCCCTTGTCACGGTGCTTCTCATCAACATTATGTCAGCAGCCTGGTCTTCCCCTGGAAGACGCAGGCTGCTCGTCGTGGTGAGGAGGCCAGTAAACCCCGCTTTCTGGAACAAACCTAGTCTGCGCACTGAAAAGCCAGCTGAGGGGTTTCAAGTTCTCTTTTCAGTTAAGTGGCGGGGTCCTTCCCCGAGCTAGCATCGCAGGGGACACTTTGCGTGCCTCGTTACCTACTGTCCAGCAGCGCGGCGCGTGGGCCAGGGGCTCGGCGAGGCCTCAGTGTCCCCGGCAGGCAGAAGGCGGACTCAGCTTCCCTCCCACTGGATGCCGCTGGGGCCGCGATGCTGATTCTCAACTCAGAAACCAACAGAAATTGTCATTGTTTTACTGGAAGGAAAACTAAATTTCGAAAATTAAAAGCAGTGTACTGCACATTTTCCAACAGAAGCCAACACGGAATAAAGGACCGGTGCTGGTGTGTCCCCAGACGGAGCTTCGTGGGGACCCCTCTCCAGGCACCTGCAGCCTTCCCACTCTGAGGCCATCCTGGCATGACAGGGGTGTCCAGGGACAGCGGTCAAGGGATGGATCCTTGATTTCTGGCAGGGAGAACCAATTAGATGTCCTCAACCAAGCCAGGGTCCACAGGCCAGGGGAGGCGAGTGTCCTGTGCCCCAAGGGGCTCCTGGGGAGGGTCAGGTCCTCCCCCAGGCCTCAGTAAGACCAGTGACAGTCCCGAGTACTCAGGACAAGCAAAGCACCATTTCGGGGTCTTGGGTGTGGGCCGGCTGTCACTCTCAGGCCTCGCCGGCCGAGGGGCTCCCCCTGCCCCCTGGCTGGCTCGCTTGTCCCACCCAGCCCTCTATGCTAATGCGCCCTCCCCGGGGAGTGGGCCATCTCTGCGCCCCACACCAAAAGCCGCCTGCGTCTGGGGACGAGGGCCGGACATGGGGTGTTGGATTTCCGTCGGGGCGAGAAAGCCCGAGTTATTTCCTCCTTCTCTAAATATCTGTCTTCGTATCCCGTGGGGCAGGGGGACAGGCTGTGTCTGCCCGAAACCTGGGAAATTAAATTAAAAATGCACTGCGGCTGGGGAAGGCAAATGTGGAAACCCTGAGCCTGATTCGCCAGCTCAGACTCTCCTTCATGAGCCTGTATTAAACCTGCACGAATTAAAATAGACTCTGCTAATAAACTTCACCCCAAAGCCCAGAAGGCATCAGACTCAGGGACATGTGGCTCTTCCTGCACCGTGAAACCACCAGCCCACAACTCCCGGAGATGGAGACCCCGCTCCGGAGGACTGAGCAGAGCAGGTGGAGGTGCCCAGGGGGTCCTCACTGGGCGTAGTGCCCCTCAAAACTCTGCTGAGGTGGGGGACCCTCAGGTGACAACACCCAGAGTCCCCCCCAGTAGTTTAAGCAGAGAGAGAAGCTGCCAAAGCATGCGAGTGGCCACGAAATCCAAGGCCAGGTGGTCAGGTGGGGGGCTCTGCCGGGGGTCACCAGGCGCATAGGTGGGGGAGTCCCCAGGTGCAGGGACCTCGGATCCTGTCGTCAATGCAGGACGAGGTACAGCCACCTGCCTCCTGCCACTGCAGGTGCTGAAGCAGGGGGTCTGGGGCCTCTGCCAGCTGGCACAAACAGTCTCCCTGTCGCCCTCACTCACGTTATGGGGGCCGTCTGTGCAAGCACCCTCCCGCCTCAAGCCCACTCGAGGACAACTCTGGAGGCCTGCGAAGCCCCCACTGCCCCAACGTCTGTCCTGAGAGCTCCAGGGACTAACCAGGTCACCCCCACACAGCCTGGCACAGCCCTGTGCCTCCCTAAGACACCTCGTCTCCTCCCCCAACCACCGGCCCCTGTGTCACTGAGACAGAATCACCAACGGCCACTGCCGCCTCAGTCTCCCTGTGTTCAAGCTGCTGTCCCCCAGTATTCTGACTTGTGCCCCAGGCCCCTGCCTGCCACCTGCAGCTCACATTCTGAGGTGCTCAGGGGAGAAAACCATCACAATTAGGGACCCAGAGCTGGGCTCCCTTCACAGCGACCGGGCCCAGGGCAAGGCCAGCCATGGCCCCACGCCCAGCACCTGGGACCCATGCTCTGGGCTCCTCCCTTTGTGGCTCCCCAGGGTGTTAACTCCTCACTGCGGTTTCCGCGTCTGTGAGTGGGGACGAGAATGAGGTGCTCCAAGGACCCGTGAGACGCTGCATGGCAGTGCCCAGCTTGGCCCCGGCACTCCGTGGGCCCCGGGGATCGGCGTTGGGGCGGCTCTGCTGTGGACACCAGCAGAAGCCCCTAGATAGTTCCACAAACTTTGTCTCCGGGTTTTGTGGCTCAAAAGCACACTACACAGAGCAGGGCTGGCCACGCCGTGTGCCTGGCCCAGCGCAAAACGAGGTCGCGGGCCCCTTGCTCGCGAATGAAGAATTTCAAGGCAGTGACAGCCGAGCAGTGAGTCGAGCGGAGGGTCCTCGGAGCCCGGCCGCAGGGCACAGGCCACACGCTGCTGAGGCACCGTGAGCAGTGGGTGACTCACGCAGTGGAGGCGCTTGGGGTTCTGTTGTTACCCAATACACACACACACACTCACACTCACGCACACGCTCACACACACACACACACACTCACATTCACATATGCTCACATACGCTCACATACACACTCACACATGCTCACACACTCACACGCTCACACACACATGCATTCTTACACACAAACACATGCTCACACATACACGCTCACACATGCTCACACACATACATTCACACACATGCTGACATACGCTCAGTCACACACTCACACATGCTCACACACTCACGCTCACACTCACACACGTGCTCACACACACACTCATACACGCTCACGCTCACATACTCACATTCACACACATGCTCACATATGCTCACTCACACACTCACACTCACACACTCACACTCACACACACATACACCCTGCCTTTCCCTGCACATGGCTGCCTCTGTCACATGAACCGCGCTTATCGATGGGGATGGCTCGCAGCCCGCATTGTCTGTGGCAAGAGAAAAGGGTTAAGTCCCAGGTGTGGCCACACGGACCCCAAGCCCCAGCCCGTGACGGGACGTCCAGCAGGCGCGGGTCGCCTTGGGAAGCCGCTGTGCCGTTGCTCACCCCGCATGTGCAGGCGCATCCCTGGTCCCCGTGTCCCGGGAATTTGTGCCAGTCCCCTGCTGACCTGGGACAGGCTTGAAGGAGATTCAGAGAAAGGCCAGGTGCACGCGTGTGCGTGTGTGTGTGCACGTGTGTGCCGGCGAGGCTGACTTTGGAGTGGGTATGTGCAGATGTGAGCCTCAGCCTTGCCGGGCCTCGCTGAGGACCCAGAGGCCCCCCGAAACGCCACACGAGCACGGCATGGGTCCACCCACGGGAGCCCCAGGTCCTGGCAGCTGGAGGCACCCCCGCTGGGTGGACGCCCCCGAGCGCCCCCGGCCTCCACAGCACGTGTAACGTTCTCTTCCTTACACTTTGCAGTACGCGGGGGAAGTCCCCGAAAACCGGGTGGGGACGGTGGTCGCGAACCTCACCGTGATGGACCGTGATCAGCCCCACTCGCCAAACTGGAACGCCGCCTACCGCGTCATCAGTGGGGACCCCTCGGGGCACTTCAGCATCCGCACGGACCCTGTCACCAACGAGGGCATGGTCACCGTGGTGAAGGTGAGTGCGCGCCCCACTCCTGCCTCAAACCCCAGGACAGATTTAACAGAGTCGGTACTGGGGTTCCAGCACATCACCCCTAACACCCGAGGACCAGGGGCTGTCCCCAACCCGCTGATGCAGAGGCAGCCTCCACAAGAACCTCGTCACGTGACCGCCAGGGACAGCAGCCTGAGCTGCCGCCTCCCCCCAAAAAAGAGCTGCCCTCCTGTCCCCTCCCCGAAGGCCATAGTTCTTTAAGCTGTTGGTGGGTGAATTCTAACTTTCCAGCGGTGAGCCCTCCCCGCATTCCTGAGATAAAGCCAGCTTCGTGGAGAAGGAGTTTTCTTTGTGATACATTGTAGGACTTGCTTTGCCAATACCCGAAGGTTTTTCTTGTATTTTTCCTCTCTGACTGTCTTTATCTAGATTTTGCTACCAAAATTATAGATTAATTTCAAGAAACACGCCAGGGATGGGGAGGGTGTGGTTACGGGGTGGCCGGCGGGAACTGGGGGCGGGGCGCCTGCGTCTCGATCACGGTGGCGGATTTATCTGTGCACCTGCCACTGAATCTCAGCGCGTGTAAGTTTACAGGTAAGCTTTCAAACCCTTCGAGCTGAGAGCGCACGCAGACGCGCTGTGCCCACGGCGTCCCAGGGCGCTGTCCTGGGCGGGGCTCAGCCGCGGGCACCCCGCTTTCTCCGTTTTCCGTTCCTTCTTGTTTCTAGTCCGTATAGTGCTTGTCTCTAAAATGTCCATCACAAGTCTGCGGAAGGCGGGACGTCGCGTCTTAGAAAGCATTTGCAAATCGGTCTTGCATCCTTTGATGGAGACACAGTCCTTTGAGACATTCTCTTTCCAAGGGGGCTGGCCAGGCGGGGTCTGGGGAGGGGCAGGAGACACAGGAGCAGGGGGGCACTTAGGGGACCCCACGCGCTGGCCCACAGAGGAATTCGGTGCCTTGGGGACACATGTTCTTGGACCCCCACACGGGCTCTTCACTTACCCCAGCATGGGCCAGCCACCTCCCTGTGCCTCGATTTCTTCATACATAAAATGAGGTGACTTGGGGGGCCTAGACGCAGGTGTGTCGCTGACATTAAATCGGATGCAGACGCAAAGGTTTGGTGCACACCTGGTAAAGCTGCCGCCGTCCTCGTAATCACCGTCACCGTCACCGCCGTCACCGCGGACGGGCTGGTCTCCCGCTGCTCCCCAGTGCGTGATGAGGGGCGCTTTAATTCCCACAGGGTCTCCCAGCCCCTCAGAATCATGAGGCGCCCTGCCGCGCACGTACACTGCATACCCGACCCCATCACGCCCGGCCCTGCGGGGGCCGTATCTGCAGAGGGGACATCCTCGTGGCCGGTCCACACTGGAGGCCACAGCCCAGTGGTGTGTGCACAGAGCCTTTGCTTCTGTACAGCACCCCAGCTTCTGGTTCTAGCCCGCGACCCCGGCGGAGGTGACTCCTAGACAGGGACCTCCCCTGCACCCTTTTCTGGTGGCCTGGTGCATCAGGGCCGATGCAGCGGGAGCAGGGGGCGTCTGTGGCCCACCCAGCCTTCGGCCATCAGTCACGGATCCTGGCTGCACTGTCCCTTCTCAGTCCTGAGGCCCAGCTCAGCCACCGTCCAAGGAAGTTCACGGTCATCTCGGTGGGTCTCCCTGATCACTGCCCCGCCTCCACACCCCCCGACTCTGTCCTCCCGGTCTGGGGGCCCCGCGAGCCTCACCACCTCTCAAGCTCTGCCCGAGCTGGGGCGCACAGCTCCTCTGCTGTCAGACCCCGCCCGACGGGCATCCGTCCCCGTCCGTGCCCTCCCAGGAGCCCGCGTGGCCGCCTCCGTCCCTCGCCTGTCCTCTCCCGGCTCCAGCCATGAAATCACAGCCCACTCCAGGAGAAAACTCAGGCCCAGAGCGATCACAGGTCCTTCCTGCCTCCCCGTGGACCTCGGCTTTTAAAACCCAAAAGCCAAGGACTGGCCTCTTCTGCTTGACCCCTTGGCGGTGACAGGCTCGTGGCAGGCAGAGCGTGCCCAGTGGTGCGCCCCCTCCAGCCCCATCCCCGCCACACCGCCAGCACCCTCGCTGGGCGCCACCCCTCAGGGTGCAGACCCCACCCCTCACCTTTGAGCGAAGGGTCACCGCCCCCTGGGGGGGGTGCCCAGCGGAGCCGGGGAGCAGACCCTTCACTCTGATTGAAACGGTCCAAGCAAATTACCCATCGACTCCCCCATTACAGTGCGTTTTATTTCACCCGCCCGTGGAACTTTATTGGCCGTGTTGTCTTTCAGGAAGGTGTCCTTGCTCAGCTTGGTGACACCGTTTTTAATGTATGACATGCAGCATTCTATGTCCTTCAGGGACACCAACCAATAAATATGGCAGAAAGATCACTCCTTTAGTGGTTTGTTCATAGACAAAACCACCACAACTTTATGAAACCGTATATAAACGAATTAACGCCACCCCCAGCCAGCTCTCAGAGGGCCCTGGGTGACGGCCAGACACGGCGCGGGTGCAGGCGGGTGCTGTGCGCTTGGAGGCAGCCGGGGTCCAGAGACAGAAGCACCAAGTGTGGGCCAGGGGGAGGGGCCGGAAGTCCGGCAGGATCCGTCAGGGGAGGGGTGCCAGGCAGTCCTGCACTGGGGGCCCCCACAGACCGGCAGCCAGCTTGGGCCCCGGAGGCCCTGTCTGGGTGGCACCTGTGGGTGGAGGGCCCTTCTGTGATCACACACCTGAGCAGCACTCAGCGTTGTGCTCGGCGATGGGCAAGGAAGGTGTCCAGCTGTCCCCCTATGTCCCCCAGGCCCCCGTGGGGTACGGCTGACCCACGCCGGCACCGTGCTAAGCGCCAGGCCCTGTGCCGTCCCTGGGGGGTGGGGGGGGAGCATGCAGACACATCAGGGATGCAACATGCGGACACAAGAGGTGTCACTGCAGCCGACGGCATCGCTCCTGGACGGCTCCGGGCGGAGCGAGGGGGCGACACGTCAGACCGAGCGCTCACACCGGCTACCTCCATCATGTCACGGATCCGACGGTCGTTTTCTCCAAATGCAGCATCAGAGGGTTTTCACTTAACGCCACCGATCCCGTGTCCCACCGTCTTACTCTGAAGGTAGTGGTCCCCAGCCGCGTCGGCCATCGCTCATCTCCTGTATCCTTCAGGGCACACAAAAAGCTTAAAATAACAAACCCAAAATCACTGCCCACAGCGAGAGGTCCAAACGAGTTTAAGATTTATTCGCAAGGACCGTTGCCCTTAAAAGCCCATTGAGGACGAGCATCTAAGCGCTGTCCTCGCTTGAAGTCATTATTGCCTTGGGAATTATGTTAACAGCTGGTTTCCAATATCCAGAGACTGTTTTATATATAGTTTTATTTTTAATACCTAAAATGTGAGAATATAAAATATCGTGACTCCAAACACAAAGCTGTGTGACAAAACACGCAGCCAGCTCGAGCCCTCCGCTGCCCGCCACCCGCTGCCCGCTCTGACCGTCGGTGCGAGTTTCTCGTTTCTTGCCGCCATGTTCCTTTCTGCAAACGCGAGCAGATGCGCCGTCCACACTCCTCTCCGTCCCCTTCGCGAAAGGCAGCGTGCTGTGTCTGTTGCTTTCTCTGCTGCCCGTGGATCCTGGAGCTCTCCCCACTTCGGTACCTGGGGCCCGCCCCGGTCCTTCGTCACGGCTGCAGGTGTCCCCGCCGTGCGCGTGCCCGGGCGGGGCGGCCATCTGGTCGTCTCCGGTCTCCAATTCGTATCCTCCTTGAATGATACAAAATAACATTGCGATGAACCACCTTGTGCGTATATTACTTTTCATGTGTCTAAGCAGAAGTTTTTAAGGCGATGGCAACATGTTGTGTGGTGTTGGGTTTTTTCCCAGCGATACTGTTGCACATTTTGCCTTGAATAGTTACACATCTCAGGACCCTAGTGTTTCCAGATGACTTCCCTCCCTCTCCAAACTGTGAGGACCACCCCGCAGACTGTAGACCCCTTCTAGTATCTATCAGTGGGGGTCCTGGACCCCCAAAAGGGTGTAACTGGAAATCACGTTAATACAGGGACCTGTGCTGAGTTGGAGGGAACCCAAAACACCTGACGAGTTAGTGTCCTGGGGCTGCTGTGACAAAGGACCATAAGCTACGTGGCTTAAAACAACAGAAACGTAACCTCGCACAGTTCTGTTGGCCAGAAGTCTGAAATCAAGGTTCCGGCAGGGCCGCACTCCCTCCAGAGGCTCCGGGGGGTCCTGCCTGCCTGTCTCCCACGTTCTGGTGGCCCTGGGCGATCTCTGGTGGCCCTGGGCTGGGAGCCACGTCACTCCAGTCCCCGCCTCTGCCGTCGCATGGCCTCTGCCCGCACCTGTCTGTGCCTCTCCCTCTCCCTCCTCCAGACCAGGGGCCACCCTCGGTCCCAGGTGGCTTTACCTCAGTCTTTAGCTTAACTGCGTCTGCAGGAAGCTGTTTCCAAATAAGACTGCGCCGCTGGCCTGAGACGGACATGACTTTGGGGGGCGACCACTCCGCACATGGCACCTGGTGAGGCCCCCTGGACAAGCAACGGTGGGGGCCTGGCCACACTCTGCTGGAGGGAACAGGTGGGCGTGGCCCCCCGGTGCCTGCTGAGAGCCAAGCTGTGGAGGGGACACGTGGTGGGTGCTGCAGCCCCCGAGGAGCCCAGCCACTGCCACCGCATGACGGGACAGGAGGGACGTGGGGGGCCTTCACCCCAACTCTCCCTCCTCCCATTAGCCAAACCCAGCAGAAAAGCAGAGACAAGGGGCCCTGGGGACAGTGGCCGTCAGGACCAGCATCCCGGCCACAGAGCAGGACGAGAGAAGCAGCAACAGACTGGGTGGCGGGTGCTGATGAACCAGCCCATGGGCACCCCTCTATCCAGCCCGTGGCACCCCTCTATCCAGCCCGTGGCACCCCCTCCATCCAGCCCGTGGCACCTCCCCCATCCAGTCCATGGCACCCCCTCCATCCAGCCCACGGCACCCCCTCCATCCAGCCCGTGGCACCCCCTCCACCCGGCCCTTGGCACCCCCTCCATCCGGCCCGTGGCACCCCTTCCATCCAGCCCGTGGCACCCCCTCCATCCAGCCCACGGCACCCCCTCCATCCAGCCCGTGGCACCCCCTCCACCCGGCCCTTGGCACCCCCTCCATCCGGCCCGCGGGCACCAGTGCAGCTCGCCCTGGCCTCTCTCGTTCCAGGCAGTCGACTACGAGCTGAACAGGGCGTTCATGCTGACCGTGATGGTGTCCAACCAGGCGCCCCTGGCCAGCGGGATCCAGATGTCCTTCCAGTCCACGGCAGGGGTGACCATCTCGGTCATGGACGTCAACGAGGCCCCCTACTTCCCTTCAAACCACAAGCTGATCCGCCTGGAGGAGGGCGTGCCAGCCGGCACGGTGCTGACCACCTTCTCGGCCGTGGACCCCGACCGCTTCATGCAGCAGGCCGTGAGGTGGGGCCCGGTGCCCGGCTCGGGTGTCTCTCCAGGTGGGAGCGCAGGGCCCATTCCCAGCGACAGCGGGGGAGACCTGGCCCACCTGACCCAGTCTGAGTGATGCCGCAGGTGCTCAGCAAACATGGTGGGCGCTGTCCTGGCTCGCACCGAGAGGGCGGGGCAGCCTCGAAGATGTGGGAGGTGCGGGCCCTGTGCTGGGCCCCCTGCCAGCTGCAGGACGTCGAAGGTCACCTCTCTGCTCCTCAGCTTGCCATCTGTGAATGGGGACGATAGCACCTGCCCCCTAAGGTCCTTGTGAGGACACGTAGCCCATCTACCATGGTGACCATGAGCCTCTGCTGTCACCGTCCCACTATGGAAAGACCCCCAGTGAACTCTACTTCGGGGCTGGCACCCAGGAGGGACGGTCCCGGGAATGCTGCCTGGAGGGCTGGGGGCTCCAGGGCGGCTCTGAGCTCCCGCCCTCACCTCACCTCCCGCCCCCTCCCTCCGCAGATACTCAAAGCTGTCAGACCCGGCAAACTGGCTACACATCAACGCCAGCAACGGCCAGGTCACCACAGCGGCCGCCCTGGACCGCGAGTCGCTCTACATCAGAAACAACGTCTACGAGGCCACCTTCCTGGCGGCTGACAACGGTGCGCCCCACTCCGGGTGACTGCGCTCACGTGCCGTGTGCTGGGGGGGGGCCCGCCGGCACCCGGGGGGGGGGACGCAGTGCCAGCTGCCCTGTGCCGAGCCGCAGCTGGGGCCTCGTCGTCCCTCAGTGGCCCCGGCCGTCACCCTCTCCGCGTTTGTTCAAAGCGTCCGTCATTCATCCGGGCACCCACACGGTCGCTCACTCATGGGTGGCAGGGGGAGCCAGGGACGATGGCAGTCTGGCCTAGGTTTGTCCCCGCCCTGTCCTGGCTGAACAGCTTCTCGGCTTCTCCACCCATAAGCTGCGGCATTGGAACCACGTCTTAGCTGAGCGGCCCTTGCCGAGGGCCGTGGGGACGGGCCCTGGCTCAGTCAGCACTGCTGTCCCTGCTCTTATGACCACTGAGCCCTGCCGTGTGCCATCGGGACAGGACAGGCAAAGCCCCTCTCTCCATGCTGACGTTCCGGGGGCCAGTGTGCCCACTAGCACCAGGGCCGGCTGCATAGCAACGATAGAAATTTCATCACGATTGAGGTTTGTTTTCTCCCAGAAAGAAGATGAGGCAGGCAGGCACAGGTCAGCGCTAAGACACCAGCTCACTCTGGCCACTCCCACGTCCTTGGCGAGCTGCGGCATGGTCCAGAGTGGCTGCCGCTGCTCCAGCCATCACGACCACATTCTGGCCAACAGAAGGAGGAGCAGGGAGGGCAAGGGCAGACCCTTCTAAGGACTTCCACTCAGTGCTCACGAAGGCCAGTGATGGCTGAGAACTTGGTCACGCAGCCATAGCTCACTGCAGGGGATGCTGAGAAATGCAGTCTGCTAGCTGGGCAGCGATGATTCCAGCTAAAATTCAGGACACTGGTTGTTTTATTAAGGAAGAAAGGAGAAATGGATATCGAGGGTCACCTTGGCAGTCTCCGTTCCAGGGAGATGGGTGACAAGTCGGCCAGATAACTGTGGGAGGGAGCTGGCTGGAAGACGGGGACGGGAGACAGTGACCGAGGCCTCCAGCTGAGCCATTGGCTCTGAGGGCCTGACTGCGGGGCCAAGGCCAGCGGGACGGGAAGGTGGAGCGGGAGGTGCACCCCGGAGTTCATAGCAGCCCCTGCAAAGGCACTGGGGAGCGGGAGGTGCACCCCGGAGTTCATAGCAGCCCCTGCAAAGGCCCCGGGGCAGGGTGTGGCTGGCTGCTCTGGGAACGCTGTGCAGCTAGAGTTCATGAGGTCTGTCCTACACCACGTGACGGCGGGGACCCCTGCCGTCACCTGCCAGCCTCCTTCCCCCACCCCCGAGCCGCAGGGCGCACAGAGGCCCGTGGCAGCTCAGGCACGGAGACTGGGTCGGACAGGGACTTTGAATGAACCGTGGCTGGAGCAGAGGGCGGGCGGCAGCACCCGAAGCAGGTGCGCGCTTGGCTCTGGTGAACGAGCCCCACTTGTGCGCCGTGTCCTCGTGCACCCATCAAAGCAGTGTCCGAGGCCGGCCGTGAGCTGTCACCGCGCGTGCGTTTTGCTGTTTTCTGGAAGATTAAAGGGACACGCTGTAGGATGTATTTTCTACACACTCCACCTGCCTCAGCCCCAAACCGGGTGCTTCGTGTCGGGGTCAGGAGCTGCCATAAAAGGCAGAGCGGCTGTCAGCACAGCCTGGAGGGCGGACAGCACATGCCTCTCCAGCCGCCCAGCTCACATCCACCGCAACGTGAGCCTGGGCGGAGGCAGGGCTTGGGCGTGAGGGTCTCGGGGGACAGGGTCGGGGTCCCCAGAGGGGCGCCGAGGCCCGAGTGTGGCTCGCTGAGTGGGCGCTGCCTCCCGCAGCTTTGCTGGGCGGAGCTGTCTGCGCGCGTGCGCGGCCGCAGGGTGTCTGTCGTGCACGGCCGAGTGGCTGCGTGTGTTGTGCAGTGGGTGTGTCTGTGGGTCTGGGGTGGTGGCGGAGCCCTGGGGTGGGGGGTGGGGCCGCGGTGGCATCGGATCAGAGGTGACCTGCGAGGCCCTGTGTCTGCCCTGCAGGGGCCCCCCCGGCCAGCGGCACCGGGACCCTCCAGATCTATCTCATCGACATCAACGACAACGCCCCCGAGCTGCTGCCCAAGGAGGCGCAGATCTGCGAGAGGCCAAGTCTGGACGCCGTCAACATCACGGCGGCCGACGCGGACGCCGACCCCAACGTCGGCCCCTACGTCTTCGAGCTGCCCGCCGCCCCGGCCGCCGTGCGGAGGAACTGGACCATCACCCGCCTAAACGGTGAGCCCGCGCCGGGCTCCGCGCTCCGCAGGGTCTGGGCAGAGAGCCGGGGCCCTGCCCCACAGGAGGCCGGTGCAGGCCTTGCCCCGCAGGGCCCCCACAGGGCCGAGGCCCCAGCGTCTCCCCGTTTGACAGCGTGGCCGTGGATGTCCTTGCGGCTGCGCAGACTGCTGTCCACCACCCCGCTGACCAGTGTGTTTCCCGAGGGCGCCGTCCTAAACGTGCACGTGCATAAAAGGCACCGGGCCGGGGTTTGCGGGCGCGTGAGGATGCCTCTAGAGGGGTGACAGGGAGGGCTTGCGCCCCGGGCCCCGCCAGCACTGGCCCCGTCTAAAAGAGCATTTTCCCAGCTTCTGAGCCACATCGTGTCCATGTGCACCTTTGACCAGCGAGGGCCATTCTGCCGCACACTTACGGGCCGCTTTTTGTTTCTTCTGCAAACTGTCTGTTCGATGCCCTCACCTGTTATTTTTTGGGAAGGATTTTTTCTAACTGATTCGGTGAAACTCTTTATATATGAAGGAAATCGTTCCTTCATCCCGTGTGTTGTAACTTCTTTTACCGAATGGCCAGTGTCTTTTAATATTATGGTAAGATGTAGTGCGTGTGTGTGCATGTGTGTACCCGTGCACATGTGTGTGCATGTGTGTATCCGTACGCATGTGTGTGCATGTATGTACCCGTGCACATGTGTGTCCATGTGTGTACCCGTGCGCGTGTGTGGGTGCATGTGTGTGCCCGTGCGTGTGTGTGCATGTGTACCCGTGTGCATGTGTGTACCGTGCGCATGTGTGTGCATGTGTGTACCCGTGCGCATGTGTTTGTGTGTGCTTGTGTGTATCTCTGTGTGCATGTGTATACATGTGCGTACTCGTGTATATGCTTTTATGCGTGTGTGCATGTGTATACCCGTGCGCATGTGTGTTTGTGTGTGTGCATGTGTGTGCCCGTGCGCATGTGTGTTTGTATGTGTGTACATGTGTATACCTGTGCATATGTGTTTGTGTGTGTATGTGTATACCCATGTGCATGTGTGTTTGTGTGTGTGCATGTGTATATATGTGCTGTGCGTGTGCTTGTGCTTGTGTGTGCACGTGTGTCCATCTGTATGCGTATCTCTGTGTGCATGTGTATATGTGGGTGTGTGTGCTTGTGTATATCCCTGTGTGCATGTGTGTGCTTATGTGTGCATATCTCTGTGTGCATGTGTATACATATGTGTGCTTGTGTGTATGCTTGTATGTGTGTGTGTGCATGTTTTGTGTGTGTGTGCGTGTGTACGTATGCGCATGCCTGTGTAGACCTTGTGTGTCTTGTGTGCATGTTTTGTATGTTTGTATGTATGTGTGCACATGTATAAGTGTGTGCGCATGCCTGTGTGCCTTATGTTGTGTGCATGTGTTTTGTGTTTGTGTGTGTGCATGTGTGTATGCCTTGTGTATGTTGTGTGTTTTGTGTTTGTGTGCACATGTGTGTGTGCATGTGCCTGTGTGCCCTATGTTGTGCACGTGTGCTTTGTGTGTGCATGTGTGTGCATGTGTGCATTTTGTGCATATGCCTGTGTGTGCCTTGTGTGTTGTGTACGTGCTTTGTGTATTTGCATACATGTGTGCATGTGTGCGCATGTCTGTGTGCGCATGTCTGTGTGCCTTGTGTGCGTGTGTTGTGTGAGTACGTGTGTGTGCTTGTGCATGTGTGTGCCTTGCGTGTGTGCATGTGTATACGTGTGTGTTAAGCAGACGCGTTAGATTTTCATGGCCTCAGACCCGGTCCGGTCCTTCGGAAGTCCTGCTTAGGAAGGAGAGGTCGCCGTTCACTGAACAAAGCCCGGTGTCGCTTTGCACCAGGTGACTACGCCCAGCTCAGCTTGCGCATCCTGTACCTGGAGGCCGGGGTGTACGACGTCCCCATCATCGTCACAGACTCTGGGAACCCCCCCCTGTCCAATACGTCCATCATCAAAGTCAAGGTGTGCCCCTGTGACGAGAACGGAGACTGCACCACGGCTGGCGCAGTGGCAGCGGCCGGCCTGGGCACGGGCGCCATCGTGGCCATCCTCATCTGCATCGTGATCCTGCTGAGTGAGTACGACAGGTGCCGAGGGCGTCTCGGTGCGAGCACTCGTCCGGGGGGGCCAGGGGGCGGAAGTGCCCAGGTGCGTCCTGCAGCCCACGTCCCCACTGGGGACCTGTCAGAAACCCAGTTAAACCGGTGCATACGAGATGGGCCCAGACACTCATGGCAATACACGCATGCACTCAGGCGCACTCACATGAGCTGCCCACATGCACAGGTGTGCACACGCCTGCTCAGACACGCACACGTGCACATCTACACGGCATGCGCACACGCTCACACAGGCACACGGCACGCCCATGTTCATGCTGAGCACACGTGCACACCATGCTCATAGACACGCACACAGCCTGCTCACGTGCTTGTGCACACACGCGCACGCCGTGCTCACACAGACACGCACTCGGCCTGCTCACGCGCTTGTGCACACACGCACACCATGCTCACACGGATACGCACGCAGCCTGCTGACATGCTTGTGTACGCCATGCTCACATGGACACACAAACAGCCTGCTCACATGCTTGTGCACACACGCGCACACCATGCTCACACAGATACGCACGCAGCCTGCTCACGTGCTTGTGCACGCCGTGCTCACACGGACACGCACACGGCCTGCTCACGTGCTTGTGCACACCATGCTCACACGGACACGCACACGGCCTGCTCACGTGCTTGTGCACACCATGCTCACACGGACAC